AGCGCTCTTCTCTCGGGGACACAGCCCCTGGCTGAACCCCGCCGGCCGCTTGGGGACTCGGGGTTTTGCAGGCGATAGAAGGTAAGCGCAGGGCGATCCCGCCAGCCAGGTCTGCGGCAACAGCTCCTGGCGGGAACTCACACTCAGAGGGACTGAGGCCTCAGGCCCCGCAGCCGAATGCGTTAGGAGGTTGGGGTCTGCATTTTGAACGTCAGCTGTGGTGGTGGCCACTTCCTCTGTAACCATCATCATATGTACCCTCTTGGGCTGGCCTCCCAGGCCTCCCCCAGGCACCAGCACCCCCTTTGCTCTGGGGGCACAGCTGGGCGAGATGTGGTGGGAGTCCTCCCTCTTCTCGGCCTCAGCTTCCCCTGCCTGTACCCCAGGGCGAGCAGGCTCTGGGGTCTCCCCGTGGTAGATGCCCATGGGGCCCTGCCAAGTGATGGTGATGGCTTTTCTGCCTCGACTCCGCCATGAGCTGTGTGACCGCAGGCGAGTCGCTCAGCCTCTCTGAACCTCGGTTTCCTGATCTTAAAGTGGGGGTGAGCCTGGTCCCTTCTGTACAGGATTGTGGGTGGGAAGAATGAGCCCCTGTGTGACAAGCTCTGAACAGAAAGGGGGACAGTGGGGACATATGTGTGGCACGAGACTCATGCAAAGTCCGTGAGCCACCAGGCCACCGGGAGACAGCAGTGAGCCAGATGGTGAAGGCCGCTGCCCCCATCGGCTCGCTCTCCGGCCGCTGGCACAGGCCCCGGTGAGCGAGGTGAGAGGCCCGAAGCTGCTCTCCCTCCGTGGGCCCCGGTCCTCACGCTCCCCTGGCGGGAGCCCCGTGTGATTCTCTGCGTGTTTTGCACATAAAAAGCTCCTAATCCTAAACCGATCCCTTCATCTGGGCTCAGCCGGAGACACAGGACCGGGGCCCCGTGACCTGTGTTCCCCAAGCGCTGGCACAGATGCAGGTTGGACGCGGCTCCCTGCCTGGGGTCCGCCCAGAAAGAGGGGGTCCTGACCTTCCAGGCGGCCGCTCCTCAGAGGGCGAGAGGCAGCAGACCCAGGACACCCCACAGGCCGCCAGGCAGAAGGGGTTCGCTGGAAATCGAGAGGTTCCTGGACAAGGAGGGGATCATTATTTTTTGTTGTTGTTTTAAATATATTTTTATTGATTTCAGAGAGAAAGGGAGAGAGGGAGAGAGATAAACAATGAGAGAGAATCACTGATCGGCTGCCTCCTGCACGCCCCACACTGGGGATTGAGCCCACCACCTTGACCAGAATCGAACCTGGGACCCTTTGGTCCGCAGGCTGATGCTCTAGCCACTGGGCCACACCAGCCGGGGCGAGGGAATCCCTGTGTGTGGGGAAATGGACCCTCTGACTTCAGTCCACACGACACCAGGCAGCCAGTGTCCTCTCTGGGTACAGCGATGCCAGCCCCACGGCCCGAGGCTGCCAGGGTTTCCGTGGTGAACTCTCGCCCGCCAGGCAGGAGCTGTGCCGCCGGAAGGCCGTTCCCGGCCGGCCAGGTGCAGGGGCTGTGGGCCCGGCTCCCTCGCCAACGGGCTGCGCACCTCGGGCAGGTCCCTCTCCCTCAGAGACTGAGCCTCGCTGTCCCGCTGGAGCCAGGAGCCCGAGAGAGACAGGGCTGCCCCGAGTCCTGCGGGGGGACACTAGGCAGGAGCAACCCCGTCTTGGCCTCACTTGCGGGCTCATTCCCGGTTCCCTAGGATTGTGGAGGTTAAGCTGTTTTGAGTGGAAGCAACATACAGGTCATTTTTGCTTTGCAGCCTAAGGCACAAGCGCGGTCCTCGCCCTCACGGCGCGCAATGCATTCTGACCGCCGCTATTCCAGTCCATCTGATTTTTAAAGAAATCGATGCTTGTGACATGCTCATCGCTGCACAGGCAGAGCGGGGGGGACGTTGGGGGCGATGAGACTGCCGCAGGCCTCGGCCGTGCTGGTGACCAGTGACCTACAGGGTGCTGACATTCACGGGCTTGTGCACGGAGGGAAAGTCGATTTCACTGCACGTCCATTTACAAAGCAAAGTTTTAGGACGAGAAAGGAAGTGACGGTTGCAACCACTGAATGGGTTTCATGGCCACTGAGGGGTCCCCCAGGCCGCAGGCAAAGCCTTGCGCCTCGGCCACTGCTCAGACGGCGGCCGCGGGAGCGGAGGGCGCTTCCCTTCCTGACTCCTCTCTCCTTCCTGCAGTCACCACCTGCCTCGGAGCATCTTCCTGGTTGGAACCAGGTAAGGAAGAGCCGCCGGGGCCTGGGCGGCGGGTGAGGGGAGCAGGGCTGTGCATCTATCTGACTGTCGGGGGTCCTGCCAATTAAGAAATCAGCACCTCTGCCAGGGTGAACCCCCCCCAGAGAATAAGAGAGGGTCCCCTACACATGCACACACACACACACACACACACACACGTAACATGCCCACCTGCACACGGATGCCCCCATGGCTATAACGCAACACACACATGCTCGTTCTCAGGATAATTATTATCATGACTCACTCACGTGCACAGAAAACATACCCATCATGCACCTTGCAAAGTCCCGTTTCCCGCCCAGTCCTGCCAGCTGCTTCCTGGTCTAAGACATTTGCCACTGAGGCTGCAGGGCCCGGCTATGCCAGACTGTACAGCGCGCCGACTGTCCTGCCTCTAGTTCTGGAGGCTGGTGTTTCCCACACAGGGGAGGCAACCGCCCCTCACCTGCTGGAGACGGACCGTGTACCCGGGCCTAGCAAAGGCTCTGAGAAGGCCTGCAGCAAAGAACCCGCTTGAACTTTTTTTTTTAACTCACCAGTTGCCAGGCTCGTGTCCCTCAGGCCTCTCTCTTGCGCATTTCCTGAGGTAACATCATGTTGAATGCACTTTGGGAGAAATGTGGCCGGAGGGAGCCACCGTGGGAACAGGGGGGCCACAGGAGCCTGGGCGCGCCCTGGACTGGGCCCTGGAAGCACGCAATGGCCTCCCAGCTCCAAACTCCAGCAAGTTGCTTGGCCTCTCTGACCCCAGGTTCCCCACCTGCAAAACGGGGGGAGAATCCCCTCCCTGGTCCGGCCTCCGGGGGCCAGCGCGCTGTGCCGCGCCGACATCAGCCGTGGGACGAGCCCCCTGAGCCTCTAACGAGCCACGTGGCCTGGGCCAGCCCCAGCTCCGTGCTCTGGGGCCCAGGGGCCCTCACCTATGGGCAGAGAAAGGCAGCCCGACCAGCAATTCCCGGCCAGGGAGAGCTCCCGGTCGTCAGACTCACACGGACGACCTTTTCACGTGTAAGAAAACATTCTTGAACAGGCGATGCAGCCGCGTGGCTCACACCCTCACGCCTAGGAGAGAGCGACAGGGAAGAACCTCCTCTCCCTCTCTGACCCCGTCCGCCCACTCTTCCCACCCTCACACCTGAGCAGGCCCCACGCCCATTCCTTCCTTGCCAAGCTTTCCCGAGTCTCGTTAGGCAAATGCAAGTGTGTGTCCTCACTGTGTCCAGAAACCACACAAGCGTGTCCCTGCCTATGACCCGGCAGCTCCGCGTCCAGCTGTTCCCCGGGAGAAGGGGGACCTGTGCCCACAAAGAGACAAGATGGGTACAGGACGCTCACAATAGCCCAAACCTGGAAGCCACCCAAATGGCGAAGGGCTACGCAAGCTGTGGCCTCGCCACACGGCGCCCAATGCCAAGGACGAGCCCGCTACACGCAGCGGCACCTCAGACGCCGCGTGAGGGAGCCAGGCGGGAAAGGCCAGAGGACACACATGCCAATGACCCCGCTTCCGACATTTTAGAACCGGCCGGGCTGATCGTTAGTGACAGAAAGCGGGTCAGTGGTTGCCCGGGGCTGAGCTGGCCATGGAAATGCTCTATTCTAGGGCGGGTGGTGACGGGCACGTACGCATTTGCCTAACACCACGGAGCAAGCGCCCTTTCCAATGAGTGCGTTCCACGGTATGTAAGTCGCCCCTCAATAAAATTGATTTAAAAGCGAGAGAGAGAGAGAGAGAGAGAGAGAGAGAGAGAAGCGGGCGCCCGGCCTCTCTCGGGTCCGTGGAGACAGGCGTTCCCAGAGCGGGCGATTCCCAGCCTGGCCGCCCAGGACCCTGCCCACTGGTCCAAGTCACCCTTGGCTCAGAGGTCTGCGCCCCACCCTCCCGGACCGGCCTCAGCCTGAGTTTGGGGAGTCCCTGCAGTGCCCCAAAGGACGCGCTCACAGGAGCCCGGCAGGCAGCCCGTGGGGCAGGAGCCTGGCTGGGTGGGGGAGCCTGGGCTGAGAGCGGGACAGTGGGGTACTGAGGGGCCCTTTCCAGACTGACCCGCCCCCATCTCTTTGACCCCTAGGGTTCCAGGTGAACCTCCGGGGCTCCAGCTCGCAGTGCCAGGGCCAGATAGAGGTCCTTTTAGATGGCCGGTGGCACACAGTGGACAGCCGGAGCTGGGGCCAGAGCCCGGGCCACCAGTGGCACCCCAGCGTGGCCTCCCCGCTCTGCCAGAAAATGAAGTGCAGGGAAGCCTTGCTCTTCGGCCCGGTCCCTTCCTTCAGCAGCCCCCGGAACCACATCACCTGCCACGGAACGCTGGGGTCCTTCTCCCGCTGCAACGCCAGCGACGCCCGCCAGGGGGAGCCCCTGAGCCTGATCTGCTTAGGTGAGTTCCCTTGGCCTGGGCACCGCCCTGTGGAGGCCGCCCAGGGCCTGTGATCTGTGGCCCCCAACAGGCCGGTGGAAGGGGGTCAGGTGGGGACCTGGAAGGGGGTCCGGTGGGGACCTGGAAGGGGAAGGCGAGGGATTCTGGCTCCTGTCCAATAGGATGGAAAAGGTTGAGGACTTGCTAACTTCATTGTCTCCTGCTAACCTCCATTTTCCCAACTGTAAAATGGGCTGGTGCCGCCCACTCACGGGAGACTTAGAGACAACGTGTGGGGCAGGTGGTATTCACATCATGAGTTCCAGGTCGTCCTCACCACTGCCTGCTGCCCTCAGCGCCCCCACACCCCCTCTTCCCTCCTCCCAGACCTTTCTCCCTCCGGGACCCCTTGCCCCTCCCTCACCAGGTGTCTCATTGCAGAACCCCTGAAGACGACCCCTGCTCCCACAAGGCCTCTGCCCACAACCACTCCAGAGCCCGCAGGTAAGAGGTTCTGAGGCCCCTGGGGGAAGGGTGTCGGATTTAGCGATTTAACACGGGGGAGGCCCAGTTAGGTGCCATCTCTGGCGGACAGGAAGCGTTCCAGTGGAATATTCGGGACCTCACCACTTCCCAGGGCCATCGGCCAGTCATTCATTTGTCCCTGTGTTGGAGCCAAGGATCCAGAAGCAAGGAGGGCCCACGGCTGGAGGGCCCACGGCTCAGACGCACCCCTCTCCCCTCCCCCAGCTCCTCCCCGGCTGCGGCTGGTGCCAGGGCCCGGGGGCCTGCGGTGTGCGGGCGTGGTGGAATTCTACAGCGGCCGCCTGGGTGGCACCGTGGGCTACGAGGACCAGGACAGCACCGAGGCCCTGGGGGACCCGCATCTGCGAGGCCCTCCAGTGT